TAAAATTGTGTATTAAGAAGAACAGTAATCATTTTGATCACAGAATCATTTCGTAAGCATAGAATTTTGTATTGAACTTTGAATTTTTTACTAGAGATGTGAGACGTACATATTTATAGGTCAAATTAGAGATACATCAGTTCCATTTTTGACTACTGAACTGGTGTTTCGTGAAGGGTGTGGGTAAGGGTTTTAAAGGAGAAGAAATGCTCGCATTCACACTTTCATCCTTCCCGTACACTCACACCTGACACACCCGCCTTACGGATGAGCATTTCCGAAATTTCCTACTCTATTATCTTGCACGACAATGCTGCTACCTTTTAGCAGTTTTGAGCACCGGTTAAATCAAATTTCACTAATCTGCTCACCTACTTTATTCTTCTCCTTACTGGCTGATTAAACTTGATTTTTTTAGACCTCTTCTCAAGTCAACACTTCGATAAGACTCAAAGATAAACATTCTCTTAGAAACTTAGCAAAAAATACTTTCCTATAAGTTGCTCAACATTTCAATAAGTTTTATAATCATTAGATACTGTTTTGTCGTTTATTACATCAGAAATTAATTCGCAAAAAATTGATATGAATCGAATTGGACAACCTTTCTGTATTTTTCTGTAGACTGATGTTCTTTTAACATTATTCTGATATTATATCTAAAAGATAACATAAACAATCACTTATAAAGTCTTCAAGTAATTTTATATATGATCTGTTGATCGATAAATTGTTTATATGATTTAGTTTGAAGTTGCTTTAAGGAAAAAAATCACTCTTTCATTTCTTTTTCATATTTAGGATGGACAATAACATCAAATATGAATTTCGCACGAATGCATCATACTGCATCCACATTATCCAATGGAAAAATATTAGTTACCGGTGAAACCGGCGATAGTGATATTCTAAATAGTGTTGAGTTGTATGATCCATCAACAAGTACTTGGACAATGACAACAAACATGAATTTCGCACGACATAGACATACTGCATCTTTATTATCCAATGGGAAAATATTAGTTGTCGGTGGAGCTAGTGATAGTGATATTCCAATAGTGCTGAATTATATGATCCATCAACAAATACTTGGACTATGGCGGCAAGTATGAATGTCGCACGACGTTATCATATAGCATCCATATTATCAAATGGGAAAATATTAGTTACTAGCGGATATGGTGATAGTGGTATGCTAAATAGTGCTGAATTGCATGATCCATTGGCAAATACTTGGACAATGACAGCAAATATGAGTATTGCACGATGTTACCATACAGCATTCATATCGTCAGATGGAAAAATATTGGTTACTGGCGGATTTGATGGTCGTTTTCTCAAGGGTGCTGAATTATATGATCCATCAACAACTACTTGGACAATGACAGCAAGTATGAGTATTGCACGAAATTATCATACTGCATCCATATTATCAAATGGAAAAATATTGGTTACTGGTGGATTTGGTGGTAGTGATACTCTACATATTGCTGAACTGTATGATCCATCGACAAATATTTGGGCAATGACAGCAAACATGTTTACTCCACGAGCTTATCATACAGCATCTGTATTATCAAATGGGAAAATATTAGTTACTGGTGGATGGATTAGTAATGGGGTTTTCAATGGTGCTGAATTGTATTGATGGACATTGCCATAATTCTGTCCCTCCATTTTTATTTATATAATACGTAACCCTGCAGACAATGACGATCTGAAAAGGAGAATTCATCTAACACCCTTATGCATAATGAAACGTAAAGAATAAAAATCTCATAAAAAAAATAAAAACGAAAAGAAGGGAAACTAAAAACATAAAACACAAAGAAAAAACAAAAAGAAGCACATGAGTGCATATGATGCGCTGTAGCGATTTCCAGGAAATTGCATATGTCCTTCATTACTGACATGCCATAATGGATGAGTTACATATGTCACGTATTTTCCGGGAAAGAATAAATCATTTATTCAAAGAAAACATTTAACCAGCATCAATGTTTATGATAAATAATCGCCTACTAAACCGAGGGTGCTTCGAAACCTTATGAGGGCGTCCATCTCGACTTGGACATAATCGGCATAATGGGCATAATGACGATTATGTCCATTATGGTAGTAAACCTAAAGTCCACTAGCTCGTTTCCAACAACTGTCGTAAGAATGAATTTTCCGAAAACGGAATAACATATCAAATTTATCTATAAATATACATTTATAGTTCTTCTCTAAATATTGTAACCTCATTATAATTTATATGGTTATTCAGAAAAATAATATAATTACACCTAAGTGTTTTCCAAAAAATCGCAGAATCCATCTTTGCGCTAGTATCGATTTGCAGCCTTATTCAAGGGTAACAAGCTGTTGCTGCACATAAATTAAGAGATATCTGTGAAACCAGTAGAAATCATCGAAAACTAAAACAAAATCAAGAAATCAATTTATTGCCCTTAGTCTGATTCTGATTTAGTATTGTCTTGATTTATATTGTTTTTCTATGTGTAGAAGTCCACATAAATCAAATGTATGCGCGTTCTACAAGAACAATACTTGTTTTCAATGGAAATCGATGATTAATTAACTAGAATGTGCCCTTATAGTATGTAGAGAAAGCAAAAACTGATTTCTACTACGGGAATACACCGGAATTTCATCGAATTCCACTGGTTCCTGCCTTACAAAACTGACATGGGTCTTCATCAATAGAATATTGTAAACGAAAATTTCTTTCTCTCTTTCGATTTGAATAAATTAATTTTATTCATTTAGGTTCATCGTGGTTTAAAACTAGCTAATTTTATATGTTTTGGTGCAATATTGAAAGTAATTGATTTAGGTATTGCATGTAAAGAAATATTAACGGCCTGGCCAGCTAACTCTACCTGCGTACGTAATTCCGTGACGTTTTTCTATGATTTTGTTTTATTTGCAGAAATTTTTGAAAAAGTCAGAACTCAAAAGTAAATAAACCATTTTGTAGACAAT